CTGCACAAGCCATGACTCACCATGAGGAAGTTACCCGAGAAGGAAAGAAACAGTCCTAAAGCCATCCTTCCCACATGCAAGTACTATGTCTAGATTGAGGCTGGATCACTTCCTAAATTTCAAAGAGCAGGCATTTTTCAAAGCCCCAAATCTTTCAAACTTTTTGAAAAGCCAAAGACAATAAATCAAAATGCAAACCTTTTGCATTTTAGATATACCAAAGAAAAGGTCATCAATGTCAGCTGAGGCCTGCAATTCACTGGTACAAAAAACGTTCAAAGCACATTTTCTTTGTAACCTTAAAAACAGGTTTTGTTTTTGTTTGTTTTGTTTTAAACAAAGGGATTGGGACAATTATGGTTTTAGCATAGTTTATCCTTTGGCAGGCACAGCTAGAGGCTAACTCTGCCTATGTTTAGATAGCACTGTCCACACAAGGCTTCCTTAGGCAACGATTGGATTTGGACAACATGCTGATGCTTGTCATGAGTCATTTCACTGTAGAACAGCCTGTGGGTTGTGTGCAGGTTATTTAACCCTCACATAACTATGCTCATCCAATCTGCATGACAACCCTGAGATGGGGCTGCATATTTAAAATGAAAGTCAAACGTATGCTGCTGCTTTTGACAGTTGTGTCATGTGAACAGTCTGATTGCGCACAAACTTCTCTTAGAACCAGAACATACTTACTGTAAGAGTATCAAGAAATGTAAAATATTTTTTCTAACCCTAAAAGAAAAGATATACCCTTCATTACCAGTGCAAAACACAAAACAAAAAACATATGCATTCCTTACTTTGGGATACAATCACCATTGCACATTGCATAAGAAGGTCATACACCTATTTATGAGTGAAGGTTCTTGCACTGATGAAGGCATCAAGGCATGGCTGAAGGGAGAGAAATGTAAACAGAAAGTGAACCTGAATTCAATGGCAGCTCTGCTATGGGAGCAGCAGCATTAGAATTTGACAAATAACTGTGTCAGATATGAATGTGCAGGTATTTGTTTTGAACAGAGAGCTGATCCTGAACATTTAAATATGCTCTGTGCATACATACATTTACCAAAAACTTTCAGAGGAATCCATCATTCATCTATAATCCTTTTTAAAACTATAACATAACAATGGTGTATTTTCAGACCATTGCCTTACTATATCAAGAGAGCTAGAATGTACATTGATTCTTAGGAGAAAAAATAAAATCAACATAAACATTGGAGTATAACTGTATCTGAAGCAAAATCTAAGCAGGAAGCCTTTAAGAAGTTGGCTTCTCCAAATCCAAAGCTACTTTGACACAAAGACTGGATTCATGCACTCAGATAAGGAAAAACACCCCTGGAGGGAGAGTTTCTCTATGCCCCACATGCCAGTTACACACTGCCTTTTTTCCAAAATTACCCACACTGGATGTACATTGATATGTCATCTGAACCTTACAAGGGTTGATGGCAGGCAAGGCTTCCAAGCCCCTCTGGAATCCGAGAGTAAACCATGGTTTACAAGATGGTTTGGAAGCCACCTACCTTGCCAGGTTTAGACAACATAGCAACTTGTGTTGTGTACAGGTAATTGTGGAAATGAGACAATGTACAACTGGTGGGTGTAGGGCTAAGAAAAGAAATGGCTACTGCTTCTTTTTCTTCCCTGATTGTGTGAACCTGAGCAGAGAAGATAGAATTATTAAACCAAATGCTTCTTTAGGTTGTTGCAGTCTTTAACCTCATTCTTAGTTCGAAGAAGTGAACAAAAATAGATAAATTTATATGGTGTGGCTGGCAGTTCTGTAGCTTAGTCTGACACAAAGAAAGGTGAAAGCAGACATTCAGTTTATTTGGGAATTATGAAAGGTTAGGTTTTCCATCTAAATGCTGCCCTCTACCATACGGATTGGTAATTTTGTAAGGTGTGTTACTGCAGCTTTTTTCATCACATTTCTGGTCTGTGGTGCCCTCAGCCTTCCTAAGTTTTGTGCCCTTCAAATATTTTGCTCTTCTACTCCCCTTAGCTCCAGCCAGGATTGCTAATTGACAGGTATGATGGGAATTGTAGTCCAAAATACCTGGAGGGAACCAGATTGGGCTAGATGCATGACTGTGACTAGCACCTCTAGTTCCAATCATCCTTCATGTTTTGCTGAGGTAGCTAGCTCAAATACCACAAGTTGCCCATCCCTACTAACCACAGGAAGGAATATATTTGAGAATGTACAAGTTGGCCCTAAAAGCTGGATTGAGATTTAATTACACTTTGAGTAGACCTACTGAAATCAATGAGATTTCACTAACAAACGTATCACTGATTCCAGTGTATCAGCTCTAAATATGACTAATTCTGGACCCAAACCAATGTTAATTAGACTGTAGTTGCTTGACTCTAAGCAATCCTAAGTACAATCTAAGCAAGGTTAAGAACTCTGAATAAAACAGCAGAATGCAACATGTTCATACTAACCACCTCTGTTACTCCACAAGAAAATAGGGAGAGACACAATACTTGTCCCTTGTCCATTTTAAGCTCAAACCAACTCAAAAAGTTGAACTTATTTCAGCTTTTGACAAGCTGAAATGCAGCAGGGAATAATTTATTCAAGTAAGGAATTCCGATTTTTCATCACTTTGAAACTAAGCTCCAGGACAGTCCTTTGAATTAGCCTTGGAAACTCTTAAAGACTGACATTCAGCTTAATTTGAAACAGTTTTGCCTCAACACATCCTGCATTGTTCAAGACTTTACAGAGTACAGAAGGGGAGGGAGTAGAGACTGCTTTGATGGTCCTAACAACTCAAGATGAATATAAGCATGATTTCTAAACATTAAAATTGGAAACATTTAAATAAAGAATGGGAACTATGCCAAATGAAAAGTGGATCTGTGCTTCCCCCCCCCCTTTGGAAAATTTCATATCTAGACTTGTTTGGAAGAGGTTTTGTTTTGATTTGATTTGAAGAGCTTGAAGAAGAGTACAATGGACACAAGGGAAATGGGTGTGCTATGGAGCACCTGTCTTTCAAGTCCAATTCCTCCTTCCATTTTGGTGGCAGGGTTAGGGTTAGGGTATTGTATACTGATTAGCAAAAGTCGTGTGAATGCTCACAGCTGAGATAGCTTTTGAAAGGAGGTGAAAGGAAGATCCCATTTCCCTTTTACTTTACTCCTTTCTTCTCCCACTATCTGCCTTCCAGTGTGTTTTGTGCTCCCCTTTCCCATGCCGCAAAACCAGATCACATAATACTGCTATTGCCACCTATTTTCCTCTTGACTGGGCACAAAAATATTGGAGATGGCTTCAGCTTTCTCTAGCATGTGCTATTCTAAAGAAAACAAATCAGGTTTTAGAGGCATTGCCAACTATTGTTAATACTCTTGTCCAAAGGAAGGAAAAAGTTAGCAGCGCAGTGGTGGAAATGGGAAAAAACACAGTGCAGGTATGAGGGGTGTGAGGGTGGCTTATGGCAACTTTCGCTTCAAGCTGCCTCTTAGCTCTCATGTACATAAAGCACTTTATGCACACATGTGCACAGACAAGTGCCTAAATGGAAAACCCCCTGAATGGAATTCCTTTTATGTGAAGCCCTAGCTTGCAGAATTGTATTGTAATTCAATTGCCTTTTATGCGTCTATCATCTTTAACATGATCAGTCTTTTCAAAACACCACCCCTTCTAAGTGACCTTCAGTATCAACAGTCTTTTGTATGTACTTTAAGTAAGCTTGTATAAGTACTTTAGGAAAAAATGTAGGTGACTGATTTGGCTCTTACATTTTTTAATCCCAACCTCTTGCTTGTACCCTTTGGCATCTGGCAGTCTTCCTGGCTGCTCCTGCATCAGCAGCTTTCTTTAAACATGTGATTCTACTTTAGCAAAGGCTTTTAAGCAGCCTCCAGGGCTGTTGGACTCTGTCTTCCATCATCCCCAGCTGGAAAAGCACATGAGCATGCTGGCTGCAGACAGTGGGAAATGTAGTCCAATACGTCTGGAAGGCACCGAGTTGTGGCTTCTGCAAAGAATATGGGCCATGTAAGGGCAGGGAGTTCTGTAACACGGTGATGACTTGTTCTTATTTAAATCAATACCATTTTTTTAGTTAGTGGATTACAAATCCTATACATCTGCCCAGCACAGTACATGGACATGACCCATTAATAACACCTTTGGGCAAAATCCACAGGTACTGAAAGCCAGATAAGGTCTTTCTAGAAAGCACTTAGGCTCTGTTTAGAAAACTATATTCTTTTTGGGGAAAGACCGCTATGCAATACCTTGTTGCATGATAAAAAACCTAAGAGCAATCCTGAAGGATCAGATTAAAGGGCCACCTAGTTCAACATTCTGTTCCATTGGCCAGTCAATAATCTGTTGGAAGCCCAGAAGTAGCAGTGCTCTCCTTAATGGACTCAGCAGCAACTGATTTCAGAGGCGTGCTATACCTCCAGTAAGAGAGCAAATGCATAGCCATTTTGATTAGTAGACTTATTTTTATAAATTTGTCCAAACCCCTTTTCAAGCCATTCAAGTTGTTAAGCATTGTTACATCTTGCGGCAGCAATTTCAGACTATGTGAAGAAGTGTGTCCTTTTGTCAATTAGGCACACACATATTAAAGAAACAAGAATGTACTCTTGTTTGATCTTAGAGCTCTCTGTGGTAACAGTCAATAAAACATAAACTAAAGCATGACATATAGTCAAGGCTGAATTTGGTTATGTAAAGAACAAGCCATTAGAATTTTTGTGATCAAAGCCAGCTCCTTGAGTTGTGCCTGGAAAACTAGTGAGCCAACCCAGATCCTAAAAGCTGGTGTAAAATGTACGGAGGGACTTCTCAGGCTGTACCAGCTGAGCTTCTAAACAGTAATCCAGAATGATATTTAGGATTTCTGCAAAATCAGTTCTAGATATTTTTGTAGGCTGCAGGTATAGCTAAAACTCAATGAGAATTGGTTTCTCTTGTTTGAGCATTAGAAAAAATGCAGACTTTTAAACTCCAATTTTAGTTACTGTAAAATCCACATGCCATAATCTTTGTGAAACAACTTCACACCAGAAGAGCAAAATGTTTAAAAAGACATCTGCATAGCACAAGTTACAGGATCATTTCACATCTAGCATTGGAAAAAAGCCCCTGAAGTCAAGAAGTCAACATGCCTAGGAATTAACAGCAAGGCCAATTCACGTGGTATGTAGCTGACACAGCAGCTGCCATTCAACTTACATTTTTCAGAAATTTTAAGAAATGGGGAAAACATTTTAAACATATTTCAAATCCAACAGGTTTTGTATCCTCTTTCCCTCAAGATACACTACAGAAAAGTAAGTACCATTTGTTTCACTTGCTGAAGTCACTGATTTGTACTCTGCAATTGCTTTTGTGATGGGATGTGAAATGTTATACTTCATTTTGCACATGTTCAGGATTTGAGCAATAAGTACTTGCTTTTTTAAAACCACACCTATGAAATTCTGAGCTTCATCTCATAAGAACTTACTGTTTTACTGATCAATGAGAAAATAATAATCACCTACAATGTCATTATCAATTTTGTTTAGTATTGGCCCCATCCTCTTACTTTCCTGCTAAGAATAAAAAAGGTTGTCAATAGATATTAGGCAAATAAATAAATTAAATCATGTTTAAATGTAAAATCTCAGAGGCAAAGGTGGCTTCCCAAAGCTCTTCATTATCTCTGCAGAACAGTTTTTGTAGCCACAGTTTTTTTTTAATTTGCCACTATGTAAAGTCTTCAGCATGCAGTAAACACACACACACTCATACACACGGGGGGAACCTTCATCTTTCAGTTTACACTGTTTCAGCACATGCCTTTTCATTGAGAGAAATTGCAAAATGATCAATATCACAATTTCTTACATCTGTTTTCCAGTCTACAGAGCAGCAGCTACAATTTCAATGAAAAAAATCAGGTTTGCAAATAAATTTACTCTTATATGAAACCATTCAAATAAAAACAGAAAGACAGTACATACACACACACACACACACACACACACACACACACACACACAGTTCTTACAGCATCCATCATAAAAACACACTAGAGCTGTATGCTGAAGCTGAATCAGCAAGGGCCAAATAAAATCCAGAAAACCTACATTTCTATAAGTGTGTGTGGGGGCGGGGTTGTGGGGGGGTTGACTTATAAAAAAGGGAAGAAAAAGACCCTAGTATTCCCCCCACTTTTCTTATCTGATGCGATTTGCAGCAGTGCAAGTAAGTTATTGTTCCAATGCTATGGTGTAACTAAGCTTATTGGTTATCATTACACACACTAGAGTACACTGTAACTTTTATTGTGACTTCCAAGCCTTCAGGTCTTCCAGTTTGCTTTGTAATTAGCTACCTCAGGGAAATGAAAAGGTCATTAAGGAACATAAACATACACATTTTTGCTCCCAATACAGTGATTGATCCAGGATGCCATTAATTTCCCTGTCTGATAAACCTCAATGGCCCAACAGTATCAAGGTTTGCTTCTGTTTCCTCCCACATCCAGTCACATAATTGCCTTCTGCAGAAGTCAATAGCAGAGTTCCAGGAAGAAAAGGTAGAGAATTCCCAGTAAAGGGGACCAGGCCTCTCTGGCTGCTTGGCAAATCTGCAGGACCACAGACATAGCTGTAATCATACAGATGGCAGATGCAAGCAATGTTAACTGTAGAGAAAAGGGCACAGTCTTCTCGTCTCCATGTACTGCAATCTGGTGGCCTGTCCAGTGACCTTAGTGAAATTTCATTAAATCTTACTCATAGTCTGCAAATATTGGTAAGGTTCAGGCTGACAAGGGAAGCCTGAGATCTATTAATGACACACACACAATGTTTCACTTACACTTTGGCTGGGACCATCACCTTATGTGGGGCTGGGAAGGAATTCTTCCTGTCTGGTGATCCTACATTTTTGTTTCCATGAGGTTTAGGCTGGGGGGAGAGAGTGAGCATGTGATTTGCATTAGTTTAATGGATTACCTGATTAAATCATTTGAAGCAATTTTCCCTGTTAACATCATTATACTATTTGCTGGCTTTCTGACCATGGCCCATTGTGGGAAAGGTTAGACAGGATGACTGCAACATGCGCTATGTGGTGCTGCCCCTTCAAGAGTATTGGGACACTGCAGCTTGTACGAAATGCTACAGGCAAATTGCCTTCTGGCTTCTGTAACAATATTACACTGGTCCTACATCAGTTGCATTGGCTTCCAGTCAGATCCAAGTCATGTTACTGCATGTTATTCATGCATGCGCTTTCTCTATAAAGCCTTAAACAGCTTATGGCTAGGATGTCTGAAACACCACCTCTGCCATATGAATCTGTCCATTGTTTACAATCTATACCCACACGGCCACAAATGTAAGAGGCTACATTGGTGGGAATATGGGACAATGCTATCACAGATTTGTCTAGCAGCATTATATTGGCTTCGCCATTGCTTAATATCTGGTGGGTGGTAAAGACATTTCTCCCCTGTTCACATTTTTGACTTTGAAAGGCTGATAGCTGGTTTTACTCATTTCAAGGTTTTCAGTGCTCTGCGTTCAATGCTTGTTATTCTTTAAATCATTTTAACATTGTTCTCAACACCCCTTGAAAGCTTTAATTAGTAACTTAAGGAGGACTTGCAGAAATGTCTTGCCGCAAATTGCTCAGCCGAAAAGCTTTCTAGTGTCTTCCAGTGCAAGCTGAGATGAGACACTGTGTGTGCTCAGAGTGCACACTTCTGTATTTAGAATACCTTGGCTTAATGGCAAGTTAGCATAAAGATGCACAGAGGAAGTCATGTTCCCCATGGCTCCTATCATGGCTCTTGACTCAAAATCATGTTGAAGAGGACTCTGAACCCAACAAGACATGAGTCCTCCTTTCCAGATTGAACTTTTGGCACCCCTTCAAGCACCTTCTAGCCCAAGAACTTGCTCTCCTCTCAGCCTTAAATTTCCAAGGGTAGCTCTCTGAAAACCTTTCAGGTCCCACAGCCAATGACACTTGAGGCAGCAAAAATGAGCACAAAATTGTGTTTTGTGAATGCATGTGTGTGTGCAATTCCTTCTCCACCTGAAATCAGCTCTGACTTTTTGCTGGCAATTCTGAGCCCTCTGCAAGGCCAAAAATACAATCCACATTCTGTAATGATTTTTCAAGGATAGTTCCTTCTTTTCTTTTTAATGTTGGGTTCTTTTGTTGTTGCAACCACAATGTCACTTAGAAAGAATAGTAGTTCTTTAATCAGAAAAAGCAGGTATATACATGGAGAAGCAGACAGCCAGAAAAGCCTTTTTAATTTTCAAACTGTATAATTGAACTGCATAAAGCAATAAATGTTGATTTGGAATTTGTCAAGGAAGTCTCAAGACTGTTTTAATGTTTGACTGATTGCCTCCTCATTTCATTTACTAACTTTTGCTACAAGCTTTTATAATCTTGCATTTTGTTATAAAAAGTCTGTAATGTATCACAAAATCAGACATAGATAAGCTGTAAAGGGGGAACAGGGGGATAAAAAATAACCTTCCATATATACACCATTTACACTTACACACACACTCCCTACCCTGTAACTAAGTATCTTCCAATGTGAACATTTAAAGATGTCTTTAAATCCAGAGACAATGGAAAATGCATTAAATGGACTGGAATCTGCAGAGGATGCATCTAAAATAAAGGTATGCTTGTAGCCATCAGATCCCCATCTAAGCTCAGTTTTAAATGCAACATTGCAGAAATTCCATGTGTCTTTCTGCATTAAGAGAGAAATCACAGTATTAATAGAGTAACACTAAACATAACTAAGGATTTTATCATGTAAGAAAAGCTGCCATACGAAGCTGCCTTCAAAACTCAGCACCCCACTTATTTTTTTTGTTTCTTAAAAACAACAGCGACAACGACAAAAAAAATCAGCACAGAGGAACAATACAGACAGACCCACCCCAAACACACTTTTGTTCTCCTTTAAAGCAAAAGAGATTGGAGAAATGCCTGTCTCAAAATGCTGCTGTGCAAAGCAGAGGAGAAAGCAGTTCTCCTACACAAAACATTTTGTGATCTTAAATAACTCTCTGTAGTATCATTTCAGAGACCAAAATAGTACAAGATTTTGCCTTTCTCTGAACAGGAAAAAAATGGGTCAAAGAATAAGCAGTCTTTTTTGCTCCTTCTTTCTATGTTTCCAGAAAGAGAAATAAGGGAGATAAATCTACATAATACTGAACTGAATCTCTTTAATTCCAGTCAGCTTTTATCATTCAATCACAGAGACTGCATGTGGAAAAATTCATGCTAATTCCCCCTAGCAACAGCAGCAGCCTATCAGGAAGCTGCATGCACCACGCCGCTGCCTGCCAGCCAGCCAGCAAGAATAACTCTAAGTAGGTCAGGCCTGTATTTCTAAAAATGCCACGGTCTAGTAACCCCACTGTCCCGTCTGTCAGCCCTGCCCCATAATAACCTCAATTGCCTGGCGACACAATGACATACTACCCTGATACAGCGCAATCAAATCGGGCTAAATTATTCTGCTGCAAGCATGGCTGTTGGATGGAGGACCCGGCGAGGGGCTGCTTTAATCAGGCAGCCATTCGTGGCGACTGACATTTCACTCTACAGAGGGGTCCCGCATTAAAGACCAGCTGTTTCGGCTCCTGCACACAGACCCGACAAAATCCTTCCACCCGAATGGGTGCACGGTATAAGCCTTTTCTGGATCCTAACATGCGATACACATTGGTCACCCTAGTTGCAGGCGTGGCAGAACATCAGCTTTTGTGACGTTCAAGTAATTAAAGTATGTTTAAACTGCATCACATGTGATACAAAAGAGCTATTGGCTTCATGTAATGCACAGACCTCTCCTCCAAACAAACACGCATTTTCCCAGCCCAAAATATACATGTTTGCACAATGCAGTCTATTTTGGGCATATTATTAAGGAGCTAAATAAACAAGAGCTGAACTGAGGCTGACATCTGCAGGGAATCTGGGAAACCAAAAGAGGCTCTGAGCAATTTGAGCAGCAAAGAACAGAAGTAGAAAAACACAAACCACACGTTGCAAAGGCTTGCGGATGAAAGCCAGGAAAGAGCTGCATGAAAGGCGCCTGGAAAAGGCAAATCACAGATTAGGCGCCTCCCACGTCCTCATCCCGGCTTGCATGTGGCAGGACTGCAAATGCAGATCTAAAACAGACTATGTCCCAGTCAGGCTCAGCTCCTGAAATGTTACCAAGAAAGCTTTGCAGGATTTGCTTTGGCATTAAGGTGCTGTACAGAATTCATCAAATCTGACCCCATCTCCACCGTGAAACAGAAACAGCTTACTATATGCTACAGCTATATCACACTACTCCCAGAGAGCACAGAAAAACAGCAACAGAATCCGAGACTTTCTAACTCGGTAAGAAAATGCAGTTTCTGCATTTTCTTTGCATGAAAACATCCCTTCCACACTTGCCCTTTTCGCCTTAATTTGCAGCTATGATGTGTCATGTCAGGCGGCTGTGTGTGTGCTAAATGAGCCTGAAAAAGTAAAGGCATTTGCTAAGAGCAATCAGTCTGCACATTTTTAAAAGTTCATACATTTTGTTCTGAAACTCTGCCCCCACCCTCATTCACTTCCACAGGCAACTTGCTAAATCAGCCCACAACTATGCAGAACTCAGCAAGCCCCATGCCATGTAATCCATGCATTTCTGATTGATGAACACAGCATAGTCATTAATCCATTCGCCCTTGTTTGAACCAAGCTTGATAACTAGGTTATGACTATCTTCCTCACTTTGTGGCATGCATCACAGTTATTCTTGGAAAGATATGGTTGCTGATGTAACCATGATCTGCTAATTACAAGCTGCTGACTTTTTGCTGGTCGATGAGTAACGGGAGTGTCTCCCTCTCTCTTCCTCCCCCTCCCCCCCAGCTCTCTCCTCTTAAAATTCCTGAGTCTGAGCTGGAACCATCATGTATCCGGAAGAGGTGTAGCTCCCCTGCAGAGCACAATGTATTTTCCTAATTCCACTTTTCCACGTTAAAGCAAACAGGAAGTGGCATTTCTTCACCAACTGGCCCAGATATAATCTAACAGACAGTATTTCTTTAGTAATAAATTGTTTCAGGTGATCTCGCTGTGACTATGAGAAATCCCCCTGGATACACTCCTACTTTCTGGCTTTGAGCACACATGTGTGCATGTATGCATATGCCAAATAGGCAGCTGGTGAAAAACAAATAAATAAAATCTCTCAAGCTTCCTGTATTTACCTGCATCATGGGTTTTCTTTCAATTAATCTGGCCCATTACACAGATAGGACCATGCAGCAGGGTCCGCATTCTTAAATATGTTTGCCCCTATGCTATCCTGCTTTTCTTTAAAGGGGAGAGAAAGCAAATCCTATTTCTTCCCCACCCAGCTGCCCCTGGCTGCATGCAATAGCAGAAATTTATGCCACCAATGAACATGTTAGAACATTTCCGTGCTGAAATGAGCACTGTGCTTTTTTCCCTTTTAAGCGGGACTCTGATCTCTCTTTTTAAAAGAAAAATACAAGCTAACATCAAAATACATTAACAGTGCAAATACAGTGCTGTTTTCATCTTGGTGGAACATCGAGGCATCTGAAAATGAGGAGTTGTCAGCTGGGCTACAAAAGTCATCTGGGAAAATTTATTTTGATTAGACTGACCACACTTCTATTTACAGTATAGATTTTTTTTTCCTCCCTGTAGACTAAGTACAGCTGTGTTTATAAAGATTTAAAATAAAAAAACTCCCACAGTTCCTCCCTGGACCATACCGAAGAGGCAGTGCTTCAAGGTGTTAAGGGGGGTGGGGAGAGAGATTTTCCAGAATCTTGTCTGCAAATGTGTCTGTTTCAAACAAGGCAGCCGCTTATTCCAGAAAAGCATGTATATAGTATGTAACTGAAAATACACACAACCAAGCCTGATTCAGCAGCCTGACAGATTTCCTATGCATTCCTGAATCAGAGACCTTTCTATCTCATTGCACGTATGTAGAAATACAGACATACATTCATAGTATACACTTCTCTTTTCCCCCACAGGGTGTTTGTGTCTTTCCAGCCACATGCACCTTTCGTTTCCTCTGTAACCGCATTAGGGAGTGCTCAGACTACAACTCAGAGTCCCTCTATCCAGTCATGGTTCCAAAAATTATGCCATCATCATTGCTGGAATGAGCAGACCCAGAATCAGACAATCAATCGGTACGCAGCCTTTCTTCTTTCTTGTCATTTGCTGACTTGTTCCTTTCCACTCCTTTCCTCCCATGGCTGTTGCCTGACAGGCACACCAAGCAGATGCTTTATTTATCCGTCTCCATCACAGTCTCCTCTGAGGTGAAGCACTGCATCACCTTGCCTTTCCTCATAATAATCCCTTTGAGCAGCAGTGGTTGGATTTTTCCTCCTGACGCCTTTTCCATGCATCCTGCATTGCTGTCGATGCCCAGACTGGATACACCAGGCTACCTGGCACAGTCCTTCTTTAAACGTTTGCTCCCCAAACCTTTAACTCACATTTTTACCCTCTGGGGGGAAAGAAAAATAAATCTTACATCAGACGTGTCTTCTTTTCCAGCAGCAGCAGCAACAAAATGCACTGCCCAGATTTCACCGTGCCTTTTCAGGAGCGTGCCGATGAGTAATTCTCCCATAGTACAAGCCAGGTTGAAACGCAGGCAGGCAGTGGTAACCCCAGCAGCAGCAGCAACCACCCAGGTAAGTGGGGGAAGCAGGATATGCCGAAAGTGGTGCAGCGTCATCGCTCTGAGAGAAGGCAAAATCGCTCCTTCCAAACAGCGTGGCTCGAATCCTGCAGGAAGTAAAGAGCAGGAGTGCCCCCCTCCCCACCCCCCAAAACGGAGAGTTAAAACGGAATCACCATAAATCAAGCCACGAACAATACAACTTTATTTCTGTCATTTTGGATTTTGATTTCTGCACTGTGCACTGTGACTGTCCAGGAGCTCTCTTTTCCAAACTGCAACAAGCCCAGCATTGCATGAGGAATCACATGACCCTCTGGCAGCCAGATGCTGAAATGGTCAACTATTTCATGGAAGCAACAGCAGGATCAACAAATACTACTCTTGAGCCAACAAACGCTCCTCTCGGGTAGCTATGAAGACATTTCCCTTAAGCGAGCATTATACACGTATATCCTTCTGTGCACAGGATCATATTTGCACCTTCGCTTGTACATGCTGGTGCTAATGTAAGGAGATATCAAGGATGCTGTTCCACAGACACTAGCTGGATGGCAGTAATATTACTTCTTGCTGTATTATTCAAAGCTGATTCCACTTAAGCAAATTCCTGAAAAGCAGGAACCATGTCTCTGTAGCCTGAAACTGCTGTTGGGGGGTGGGGGGGGGGAATCCCAGCACCATTATCTCTCCCTGCAATCTCTATTTGAAACTGCATTCTTAATAATTTATTTCTGACAAATAAGACCTTCACCTAGGCTGTTCCTTTCCCATATTTCCATCACATGCTGGATTCATTATGTAGGTAAGACTTGTCCTGCTGCTATCATGAAACAGAAGGAGCATTAATCATTTTCTCAAGTGTTGGGTTTACCAGAGACTGTGCATGCTACACAAATAATCAGGGCAAGATGCTTCTGCTTTATTTTGCATAAAGTGGCTTTTGTTCCTGAAAATGGAAACTGCAAAGACATATTCTGATGTTATGATATGTGTGTGCTCGGGAAAGAGAGAGACACTAAGAGAGAGTGTGTGTGCTGTGAATTTTTCAAGGTAATGCAGGAAGAAAACCTTATTATCCCAACAGACATAACATCTCACTGTATTTCCTTTATTAACTTTGTACCTTCCTTAAACTGCCACTAAAACCCTGAGAACTCTCTCTGTGGCTTGGTCTCACTTCTCCAATAAGTTAACTTCCCCTGCTGTGCGCCTATGGGAGTTTGGTAACAAGGAAGTAACTAGCTACCAAACAGGTTTTTGACATAATTCTACCATCAGACAAACGGTTCATCATTTGGAGACTTGTTTTGCTTCAATAGTTGTGCAAAGTCACAGAGCATATGGCTTCACATTTTCCATTCCCCTTGTTTACAAACTGTGCAACCAACCCTACAAGACCTACTTTGATTTCTTTCCTTGATATATAACTGGGAGTTATGTTGTGAGATACTAATTCTAGATGGGGCAGCTACATTTCTGAAGCCCGCTAGAAATTTTACTCATGGCGAGCAAAATTTTAATCAAATGTGATTGCCATCTAAGCCATGCACATGCCCAAATAATTTGGATTAAGGAAAGGAGGGATAGATATACATAAAAATGGGGAGAGAAAGGTATCCAAGGTTGCAAATGCTTTTTTTCCATTCCATTCCATTTTCTTGAGTTAAAAGGATGCTAATTAATGCAGTCCTATAAGGAACACTTCACAGATTCCGCATGATCCAAATGCAAAACTAGTTAGTACACAAAAACCAGGATCTATATACAGACAACACATGAAAACTGTGGATAGAAGAATATATTTTACTATTTAACTACCACACACTGCATATTACTGATACAATTCAGATATGTATGCAGAGTAATATACATGCATACTGAATATTATGCAATTAGGGATGAATATTTTAACCAAGAGTTTAATCAGCTAAAACCTGAGTAGACAAATCAGTGAGAAGCGAATTTGAGCAGTGGGGTTGAAGCCAAGGGCACCCTTGTTGAGACTGGCTGGTTCGGTATTTTAATGCAAATGCATGTTCCCAAAGGCCCAGAGAAGCACAATTTTCCATTAAAACATAGTGTATGTTGCTCATGTCTCTCCTTATTTATTTATTGGCAGCACTTTGGTGGCAGTCTTTTGTGGGTGGCAGGGGACTGTATAAAAAGGGCAGAAGCTCATGTCCCCAATGGAAAGTATGTCAATTGCTCCCATATGGCACATGAGAGGTTGAAACCCACAAAACGGTGACTTGGCTAAGGCTACCTAATGTTTACATAGGTTCGGAAACAAACTCATGACTTTGGGGCACAGAGTTCACACTCTCAGCCATTATGCTATCTTGTTCCTTTGCATTGTCTTACAAATCCTATACTTCTCAAAGCACCTACAGTGAGTTTCAGTATTCATCTACAGTATTATCAGTAGATACACTTGATCAATTAGTTAAAAAGCAAATTGCTCATTAACAGAGCAATCCTGTGTGCATTTCCTCAAAAGTAAATCCCCCTGCATTCCAGATTCTCATGGCTATGCATTGGATTGCAGCCCAAAATTCTGACAGCCCCATATTTAAATGTAGGCTTGACTAATATCTATAAAGCATATGTGAAGTTAAAGCAAGGCTTGAAAAATCAGTTAGGAATGCAGAGAGATGAATCAGTATTAAATCACTTAATAGATAACCAAAGAAACAATGGTTTTCCCAATTTGTTTCCTAAATCAGATAAATGCAACCAAGGAAAGAGAAAAAAGGAAGGCAATACAGTTTGGAAACCTTAGTAGCTATCAAATGGATGCATTCTGGTTTTAATTGGCTGCAATAAGGCCTTAGCTGCCGGCTCGATTACATAGGTGTTATGGAACACTGGCAAATATTCCAGTTTCTCCGAAGTTTTAAAAAGAACTCAGTACACAAGACCTAGGTGACAACTGGATACTGTGGGAAGGAAAGAGTTCATCAGAGAAGAGTGTAGGCAACATTACCAAAGTGTTGGTCTACTGTTAGAATGAATATGAAAAAATAACTGTTGCACAGAATTTACAGGAAATGTAAAGTGTAACAAGTTTTGTTGTTTGTTACTTTTGGTGAAGAGTCTGTGACCTCTGTGATACAGGCCTCAGAAAAATGAATCCAAAACATGCCAACTCCAAGTGTCACTTCTCAACCAATATTCCCTTGAAACATTCCCAAAGCTCAGTGCATCCAGCCTTTTCCAGTGAACCTTGCCCTTTTCCTGTAGACTCTAGAGAGACGACTGTGGTTATTTGTGGTTTTAACCCCAAACCAGACACATCTCTTTATTTTTCACTCAACATGAAATGGCAAAGTGAAACATAGGGGTGTGAAGTCTGTGGAATGAAACCAAAACAAACATTTGTCAACTCCTACATAAACAGAAACCCAAAAGTTGCACATAGCTCCACCAATGACCCCAGCTGGATGTTGGTCAAGAAGGCAAACAAACATCACCCTACCTTTGGTGTAACTTGCCAAGGGCTCTTTAGTGGCATCAGACTCATTTGAAAGCCATTCTCTGGTTATACATCTCTTCAGTTATGCATTTTCCTCTGCTTGCTTCCTCATCAATACACAAATAGAAGACACTTGCATCAGCAAAACCACATCAGTGAAAGTCTGCTGAGCCAAGTTCTAGAAACACAACGCCACAAAGTCAAGGCCAAGGCAGAGCAATTTCGAATCTCTAATCCCACGATCCTCTATAGATGTGGATCACAGGCTCTGATATAAAAATCTAAGCACTAACACAAAACTCATGTCTTTGAGCTAGAACTACAGCACAAACGCTGATGTACCAGTTGCCTTCCTCCTTATTGCTTTCTCATGACACTGCTATGGTACACACACAGTTATTTTGCTGCTCTACTTGAAAGCAGGAAAGGGGAGCCCTGTCTGTAGAAGATGTAAGATGCTGATAAATAATCCCGAATTACCAGCCATTTTCTTAAATAAAGCTGTATACATATTTACAAACCTAAAAAAGGAAGTTGTGAAAAAGAGTCTTCCTAGGAATACAAGTCTGAAGTCCACCATAGCGTTCAAAGCTTCAGTTGTTCGCTGCATTCTGATTTCTCCTGTAACAAAATATACAAGAAAAAATTAAAATAAGTAAATGAATTGCTGTTGGATAAACTGATTTGAGCAGTTTAACCAGACCATAGCCTAATGAAGTGTTAATATTTTATCTTGGGCAATAGCCCAATTTTCCTTTGTTAGTTTAGGACTGGGACCTTATATGGAATACATTGCACAGGTTCAAATGGAAGAGCTATGTTTTTTCACACCTGCCAGACACTTCACCTTAGACTTTGGAAGTGTAGTCAGGAAGTAAGCTTTTCCATGCTTGTTACTGTAAACAAATAGTGCATGGCAGACATCCAAGTGTTACAAATGGGAATGGGCTGAACTGTAATAAACAAGAGATGAATACAGGAAAAAAATGGAGGCTAAAAATTCAGACAATCAGCAGCAAATAAATCAAATCTACTTGTTTGCAGCAAGGCCAACATGTTAAGAGTTGGTTGTTTTGCAGAAAGGGATGTATCATGCAATTATTTATACTGTAGATTTAGCTTGTAACTTTATAGTTTTGGACTTTATTAAAGCGCCCTGTCAGCAGTCTGGGAATAACATTACTTGATGCTGTGAAGCTATGGATGTGGTCAGCAACCTGGATAGAAGACTACTAGGAGCATCATGTAAGAGTAGGATATATATAAATAGAGAATATTCTGGGAAGGAATCTATGTAGTTTAATGAACTAATCACTGCAGTATTAATAAGCAAAAGTGACTCTGATAAAAAAATGGAAAAGCAGCTATAATAATATGAATGGTCTATCCTTTTAAGTCAGATGGTTAATATAAGGCCAGAAGGCTGTCCCTACAATTTTACCACTAATTAATTATTTTTGAACTAGTAATACTTTACTTCAGCTGTACCTCTTCAGACAACAAATGGGTTCTCACATGCTTTCCTGCAGGAGGTATTTATCAGCTTCACTCAAGTTGAAGTGATCAGGAAAATTTGGCATTTAATCCAGAAAGTGAAGGAAAGTATAACAGCCTCCAGTGTATTTGCAATGGCCTGCTATCCCACAGTGATACCTTGAAAGGAAATGTGCCTTTTGCAGCGTTCAGATCACAATTCTATGACGGAACTACAAGTAGATACAGTGGGTGCATGGCTGATGAGCAGTCTCATGTAGAGAATATTACTGAATGCAAAAACATTTTGACCTGCAGCCTGAAGAGATAATGTCTTAGGAATGAGTGCATCCTTCCCACTAATCAGTCAAGTACCATCCTGCTCCAGTGATGGTGCGCTGGATCATTAAAAAGAAAGGTGGAGGAGGGCAGGGACTTACAGTGATAACTAGAAAACAATTGCAAGACAACAGTGGCAAACATAATAATGCTGAAGAAAAGTTCATTCTAGATGTAAGAATGCTGGAGATAAAAGCTGGTAAAAGCTCCTAACATGCCCATGTCTTTTGCATACACCTGGAACCTTCCCTGCTTTGTGAAGAACTTGGTGCTGCTTGCTGGTTTGCGCCATTTGTTCTTCCATCCTGTAAAGATGCCACCACGTACTCACAGCTGTTTCCTTCAACAGAAACTGCTCTTGCAACACTGTTCTGAACAATTCATGGATTTGGAAACAAGACCTACCCATTTTTAGTTCATTTTTCAATTCATAGTTTATAATCAAAATTATAAATCTGGGATTGCCCAAACTTCTTCTGGACTATGGTAAAATGCTATGATGAGTAGAAAGAGAACTGGGGCTGATACCCTAACTTGGACTCCTTGTCAGACCTCATCAGATGCTTTCACACTGAAGGCAAACACCAGACCCAAAGGCCCCAACTTGCCTTCCGGCATTCCCTGGATGGCAGTGCACAGCGTCCTTCCCCTACCACAGATCACAGCCTTTCAATGTCCCTCTCCGGCCACCCCAATCGATCGTAAGAGTTGGATATTGGCAATAGTGCTAAAATATGCTGATTTTTTAAAAAATTATGTTACTATTGCCCCTGCCTCTTTTGCTTAACCTTCCCACCTCTGAAACATGGCTCCAAAGAGCTACTCTGAAATTGAATTCAGCCCTAGGACCAAAAGTGGTTTGACACTCTTGGTCTGAGTACAAGATCACTAAACAAGGAGTTCTTAACATCATCACCACATTATTACAATTCCCAGGGTTCTTTTGCATCATATTAATGCTGGTTAGAATTTGGAGCAAATATACGGTCTGAAACAGCAAGCAAGCTCTGTCTTGGTATAATTGTATTATTGCATTTCTTCTGCCAACAGTTTAACAGTCTTTTCCCCTGTTGGCACATAATAAACATGAAATAGCAGTCGCTGTTGGTAAAATACTCCAACAGGCAATGAATCTGGCATTCTACAAACTCACCAAATGTTTAATCCATTCAGAATTAACAGAGAGGTGTCTTAATTACTTAGAATAAATCTGTTAACTAACTTGGTCAGTAGTTATCACTGCCTTGTATTAAAAACTGGCAATGGATAGTTAAGAAAGGTTTTTAAGTCCCATATAGGAGCTAAGGATGGAAATTATAGACCTGCCAGCAGCCCAATTATTAAAATGAAAAAGAAAGGAAAAAAAGAAAAATTGATTGTAGTCAGGAGAGTCATTTGATAAGATACAAGTAATTCCTATGGGAGAAAAGAGCCCCAACAACACTTTGCTTGCATAACAATAGCTCTTTTTTGGTGGCTCTCAATGAATTTATAACTGTGGCACCTCCTGATGTAGTAAAAGTCTGTTTAATTCCAAATATGATGCTTTTCATGGCAGTTGGCTGCAAGTGCCAAAATAATAACTGAAAATCTTGTAGACACAGAGTTACCAACTGTAACTAGACAGTAAATGATTTTTAATGAAGAAACTATATAAGAGCTCATTCACAAATTTGCAAAAATTGACAACCTGAGACTCCAGTTGGACATCATGCCCACCTTTGTCCAAGGTGTACATAATGAATGTTAAGAAAATGGTGATCAACCACAGTTGAAGACACCTGACTCTTTGCTTCATTTTGCCTAAGACTAGGGAGGAAAAGGGTGAGGTAAACATAGATGCAGATAAAGAAACATCCCTTAATGAGATAAAGGGGACAGTAAATAGAAGAGCCTTCTCAGTGGCTGCTCCTCAGCTATGGCTCCCCAAAGAAATTTGCCTGGTGCCAACCTTGTTTTCATTTTGGTGCCAGGCAAAAATGTTTCATTTCTCTGAATGTTTCTAAGGACAGTCTTGAAATTTATTTGCCTTGACAGCTGTTTTTTGCTTACTTGGTGTAACTGAGATACTTATTAAATTTTTTGTGATTTTAATTGGTTTTATTGTTGTTTTTAGTACTTTACTGTATGTTTCCTAGAGAATCCATCTCGTTTAGTGGATACAAATACAAATTCATGAATGAATGAATAAATAAATAAATAAGTCCCTCGTATATAACCAAAGAAGCCACTGCATTAATGAAAAATGAAGACTGTCTAGGACCTCATTTTTTGTGGCTGGCTTAGGCTTCTGCTGTTGTTTTATTTGCCACAATCCTCTCAGATTTTGTCAAATAAAATGAAATAAATCTGTCTGTTTCAAGATCAGAACGACTGCAGCTTTTAACAACTTTGAAATTAGCTTTCTCTGACAATTTCTTTCAGAAAAGTAAGTCACTTGCCAGGAACTGACAGCTAGGATCAAAAAGTAATCATGACTGAAAAGCAAACTAGCAAGTAGGGCTGGAGAACAAGCCAGGGCTCAGGAATGAAAAGGAAAACTCAAAATACAAGACATCCCAGAGCTCAAGTAAGGAAGATTCAGTTGCAACTTTTAAGCCCTCTCTACTGCTTTTTGTTCAGAAGGATCCAATGGCCAATCCAGCATGAGAAGGGTCCTCACAGAGAAACTGTCCCCTGCAGTCCAGTGATTCAGCACTCAAATTAACTGCATACCGTTCCTGATACATCACTGGGATGCTTCAAGTCACGCACTTCGTAAGGGGTGGTGATGGGAAGTCCGTGACAGTTCCATAATCACCTTGCTTCAAAGGGGTAGGCCCTCCTCTTGGTCTCTCCCAACTCACGTTCCTTCCGAGAAAGGACAAGGCGAAGGACAACAAAAGCTGAATGAAGCAGCAGGCAGTGACTTTGTCCTAAAAACTACTGTAACATAGCCCATTCTTCTAGTTGCCACTATTAAGCTGGCATCAGCATCTGGAACTACATATATTTCCACACTGTCTTCAAGGACAATCTAACATAGAGAGCATTGCAGCAGTTCAACATGGAGGTAACCAGGGCATGAGCAAGACTGGTTTCTTCAGAAATGGGCAGATTAGCTGAACCAGACAGGGTTGGTCAAAATGCCCTTGGCGGATGCCATCTCCTGTGCATCTAAAAGCAAGAACAGAAACACAGAAACAGAGCGAGTCAGAAAGGGTCTCCCGGGCCATTTAGTCTGACCCCTGGCTCCAACCAGCTCCACTCATGACATGCCTACCATGTGCATGTCCAGAAATGACCCAGATGGGACCAATAATCCCCAACTCCAGTGGCTGATGCCTTATCCATTAGGAAATATCCATCCATTGCAACCCTTTTTCTTCTCCCCCATGTAAAACAGTCTACACTATTTCTCAGCACTTGGATCCGTCTAATTTGGATTGGACTTCAGTTTGCACAGGTTCTGGCTGTGCTATGTGAATCTATATCTATGTAGAATTTTCTATGCACTGGGCTGAAATTTGTACAAAATGAATTGCTGTAGTTCTTAGCCAAAACTCTAATTGCATGCTTTGTATAACTTAAAATGATAACCTTATCTTAATTAGTAGCATGCTGCAAGAATGCTTTAGAAAGCCTTGGAGGCTTAACTTGCCATTTTAAACAGAAGCCTTTGGGTTTTTACATTAAAAAGCCATCCCTCTCATGTATTACATAGGAGCTTGTCAAAAATAACAAAGCAAAATAATCATATTGCAAAAGAATGATCACTACTTTCTCCAGTCAAACAATGAAGTATTCTGTTTCTAAATTTGCCATTAAAAATAGGAAAAGTTCTGTGGGACAACTACAAGAAAAAGAAGATATGTACATTTATAGGTTTTTCTACCATACAAGTCTCAAAACTTGAGAAAAAGCACAGAAATGATTTTTCCCTAAAGATATGAGTAATGAAAAGTTGGTATGAACATCAAAACTGAGGTCAGTTTCAAAATTCAGCAAAATGAACACAACTGTGATATGGCATGCAAAGGTTCAGACTTGCATTCTCTGTCTTTACCTCCATTCACATTCTGACATTCAATCTATTAGGTTCAGTTTATTGCATACTGTGGTTTACTATCACATCTGAACCCACAATCTATGCTTGTTTCAATTCAACCAGATTTCAGTTCTGATTAGGAGGACAAGCACAAATCATTATTTGTTGGTCTGGATGCAAATAATGGCTTGTTCTTGAAAGAAACAAAAGGATTGAGTTGAATTGAAGGGAAGGTGTGAGTGGAGGAGAAATGCGGGTACAAGCCCATGGCATGTCCAATTGTATCAATGTAGTGATACAAAAGCAGAATGATCAATTCATGCAATCTTGAGCCTGATGGAGAAAACCTGATGAAGTAATCAACCAATGAATAAGGCTGCCTTTGTCTGGACTCCTGCCTTTTCAGAGGTTAGGCAGTATAGAGATTTTCAGCATGCACTGTTTCTGTTAGTGACACCTTATTAAAAGAGAAGCTAGAACTGTTCAGCCCTCAAACATGCAAGTTTTGCAGCCACAGGAGTTCTTTTGGGGATCAGCAGCATAGGGAGGGAGGGCAGATACTAATAGCTTTACTTCATGAGGCTGTTCATCTGTTGCCCCTGCTTTTGGTTTACTCACAGAATTGAGATCTGAGAATCCCATGAGGAGCATTTTCTTTTCCTGCCTTTCCACTATATGACCTCTAGGTGGAACTAGTATGAAGAAACAGGCAAATAAACACAAGGTACCATCCAAAAAAAAAATGCTGCATTTTCCCTGCTTTAAAAATGATTTAAAAAAAAATTGTGAAAAGTACTGCTTACATATAGAAGCAAAACTAGGAAGTAGAAATATTTTCTAAAGAACCAATAAATGTTAGTGGGGAATGATGAGCACACAACAAATGCTTTGTCTAGAAACCTCTAAAGCGGAGTATGTTACTAGTAAGTTCAAAGAGTGCAAAATTTGGCTGCAACTGGTTCAGCCAGATGAAATTAAACTGCTCCAGTTCTTAAAGAACTACACTGGCTGCTTCAAAACCTAATTGAAGGTACTGGTACTAAATGGTTTGGAGACCCAGATACTTGAAGAAGCGCTTTCTCATCCTTTAAGGGTCTTTGCATTATTTCCTTAGCAGAGATACACTAGATCTGTGGTAACGCAGCTTTTTCCCAGTGGTCATTGTCCATTGTCAGCTTGAGCTGACAGGAATTGGAATCCAACACTTCTGAAGAATACCGGACTGGAAAAGATTGCAATAGAGATAGGTCCTTTTCTGTGGTGGCACCACAACTCAACTATGACCTCTCCAAAGCAGTATGACTGGTGCCAGCAATGCAGACTTTGTGTGCCTGCTTAAGGCTTTTCCAACTTGCCTGGTATTTAAAAGGGCAACATTGCCTCAATCTAACTTGCAGGCGTTATTGCTCTTTACTGCCTTTAACTCTGTAATTGTGATAAAGGATATTATTTCATTGGATCTGCATTTTGTTTAATATAATGTCTAATATATGATGGTTTAGAAATACCATAAGTAAATCAATAGATAGATATGACTAGATAAAAAGTGCTACACTTGCACGCAATGCATAAATGATTACTGCAAAGCACAGCATCATTTCTATATTGAGACGTCTGCTTCTATAAAACATAGTTCTCAGCTGCTGTTTTCTACAGAGGAAACAAGTGCCTGCAGTTTTAAGTGAGCTACTTGTATTCAGTAGGCCAGTGGATTATGACCGGGCACAAATCTGTTTGCTCTCTGAGCTGTCTCATAATTAGGATTCATAATGTTGCACGTGTACCTTGCGCACTGAGAGCAGTACATGGGTGGTGGCTCACATTAGCAGGGTAGTGTCGGACCATGGCCTTCTATGTATACTGGATGGCTAATTCCATACACAGGATGGTGATGGCCACCCATGTAGCCAGGTCTGACTGTCAGGATTAGAGCCTGATTAGTCCTCTGTAAAGCCAGGTGCTCCCTGAGGGCCAACAGCTGGACAGTACTCATGCACTCCAGCTGAATGTCCTAGAGATTTACATAAAAGATTCCTCACACCTTTGCCACAGCAACACAGGACTCCTTTTGTTTGGACTCCAAAAATCTCCATGTCTTGTTCCTGCCTCCCTCTGAGTAGATCCTGCCTTGCCCCAGCCTGTGTCCTTCCTTCTGTTCCTGTCCTCTGCCGAGTAGACCCTGCCTTGCTCCCATCTGCTCCAGCAATGACTCACCAGTAAACCAACTCTCCCCACCCCCACTGCTTTTAACTTGACCTGCCAACGTGTGTCTATCCTCTGGCCCATAGCAAAGCTCCAGACTCTGCTTGAGCTCACGTCCTGGACCCGGTGTTCTGCCCATCCCTGCTGCCACCCACATCCCGGCCCTCAGTTTGACAGGGAATTCAATGAACTCATGCGGAATAAGGATATCAGTAGCTACTGAGGAAACATATCTTGTGGGACTAGTTGATAGGGCTGCCACTGCACTTCTTGTGAGCCCCCGATGGGTATCTTCTTGGCCCCTGTGGAAAACAGGACCTTGGACTAGAGAGGCCTTCCGTATGATCCAGTAGAGCTCTTCTTATGTCCTTGGGGTGAGATGAAATGAGGAAATCCCTTTAGACAGAAAGAAAAGCTCTGTCTTTCAAGTGTGCTTCCCCAAAATTGCTACAGTCATACAAGAAGGCCACTCAATGAACAGGTTACAGCCAACCCACAGTGTAGGAACCAGCTCCATGAATGCCTGTTCTCCATCTCTAAATAAAACATTCATCCCTTATATTTAGATGTGTCTTTAAGGGGAATTGATGAGAATGCTTCAATGTAATTATCTACTGAAGTCCTCTATAGAAGTCCAAGCTGAAGATGTTATGCAAATTATGTATAACAGAAAATGTCTTTTCAAAATGGCACTCAAGGAGAAGATAATATCCCTGTCAGCTTCAGATGCTACTCTTTTATATATGTCGTTATGTTTGGTCTGGAGTAGCCAATTCAGCTGGTCCATACTAATTCCACATTATCCAAGTCCCACATACAGAAATCTTACTTTTACAATCAGTTGCAGGTCCCTTCAGACCATTTGGGTGCGGGCATTTCAATGCAGATGTCCTGGATAAGGACATCTCAAATTCAAGTGCCCATTTAGCAAATCTGTTGAGAAGAAACCATTTAGGTTCCTAAATAATGAGGATTGTCCTAGAAGCCTCTCACAGCAGGAGATGAGGCACTGCCAGAGAATCAGCAGCAAAAAACAGGATAATTTTCTGGCATCTTCATCTAAGCAAGGAGGAAGGTTCAGAGGAGTATACTCCATTGAAAAAGAAAGTTGGTGGTTTTCCTTCTTCTAGGTTCAGGTGTCATGACCAAGTTTCCCAGGAAGTAGAGAAGCTTGAGGCAGGAACAAGGGAAAACTGCACCAAGGGTTCTTCAGTGCTCAGGTATAATTTTCTCACACACAAGTTGTGTTTGTGGGAGCTCTGACACAAGCACCAGAACAACTTTACTATGGACATAGTGGTCTTCAAGGAATCAGGTATGAGGGTTAGACAGGGCTGCATTCCTTAGCTTTTATTTTTCTCTTTTGGTTTAGCTTCTACAACTGATTTGCCACTTTGACCCCTTATTGTTGTGTGCCCAGAATCTGATCAATCTTCTCTCCATTCTGCACTTTTTCTTGAATCCCTAGTAAAACTTTTGCCCCTAACCCAGACTGTGTGCTTTCGGTTGAAAGCAGGGAGGTTCACATAGAGGTATACTATATTACTGGTCATGCTAATGCTCTTTTAGAACCTAGTCCCACACAACATGTTGAGTAAAGCTGGAACCTAGTTCGGCTCCTTGATGGACACAAGGGACCCCAGTAGGAATCTTGGCCAATCATTCCCAAAGGACTGAGAGCACTGGCTTTGTTCTACTGTCAGTGGAGATGGCCAGTACCAGTTCTGGACTGCCGTATCAGGCCTTGTGCTTGTAGCTGGGTCGTCTGTCTGTGGGTGTCAGATCACCACATATGTATACAGCAGCCTGTCCCAAACTAGAACTCCATTCAGCCACAGCCAGGATGGCCAGTACTCAGGAGGGCTAGTACTGTAGTTGTCACCCAAAACATCTGAAACAGCATCTGACGGGGATGGCATATTTATTT